AACTTGTGGACGGCCGTTTTCCCGCGGGAGATGCAGCAGTCGCAGGCCGCGTCGGATAAGCAGCGCCCGTCCATAGTGCACGTGGGTCGGGGCTGGAGCGCACGATTGCAGCTTGTTCTGGCTAAAGAGCTCAAGAACGAAAGTGAGTCAAACAACTTCTCACTGTTCACAATAAGCGACTCCAGAGCTCAGACCCCCAACGCCGTGTTTGTGCCAGGTGCGCCAGTTCAGTTCAAACAAGGTCTTCCTGCGCAATTAGACCACCGCCACTGAAGCCAAAGGACGCTGCAAAGCATAGCATACGGCGGTGTGTGTCTTGAGGCGTGGTTGCGCGCCACGCTTTGGCGGGTGTTGCGGTGAGGCATGCCAGCAGATCTGTATGCCGCGGAGTTGCTATACGCTTTTCTGTGTGCAGAGCAGTTGTCGCGTTCGGCGTCGCACATTCATTGGCAGTGTCATTTGCAGGTATTCCACAGTGTCCGTAACAAAACTGCAGATGCATCGACTGGCCAGCACGCCCCAGTGTCGAGAGGCACTGCCAGATCTGGCCTTTCGCACAGTCGGTTTGACTGGGTGGGCCTTTGTTGCGGGCAGCCAGAAGGGACTGACTATATGTAACCACGCATGGTGTTTTGTTACCGTGCTGGGTGCAGAGAACGATCAGTTTGTTTAGGGCCAGAAGCAGCAGCGTACAAGATTCCGTCCTGTAGTTGTGCGAGCGTATGCCGCGGTGAATGCTGACATTCTCTATAACCCCAGGGCGGTGCAGAGAAGAAATCGGTATTCTTGCCCCAGCTGGCAAGGAAGCGTCGACACCACCATCTGTTGCGAGTGTCCACGCGCGGTGTGTGTATTGTGCCAGATCCGCTTTGTTGGCTCTGGGCTTCTTCATTTTAAGCTCCTTTTTGCCGGCGATCGAGCAATCCATTGGGAGTTGCGCGCTAATAGACACCCAGTTGGCGGGCGCCACAGAAAAGGGAGAAATGGAGCTGTGAAAAAGCCGTTCCTTGCGTGGAGTTTTTATCGGCGATGCCAAACTTCCTTGGTTTCTTATCAACAAAGGCGTGGAGCTTATCCCGAGAAAGTGGCGAGACGCAGAAACCGGCGCGCAGCGCCGGCTCAGGCGAGGAACTTACTCACTTAGTCCATCTTACACGCCCAGATGTTTTCAAAGATTGCGAGGCGAACGCGTAGGCGGAAAACGCGGAGTCGAGGTATATTGGCCACCAGGAGGGCGGCTCCCGGTCAGTCGTGCTTGGAGCTTTGCTGGCGGCGCACGTCGTTGTTGCTATTGTTTTTTACCGAGTCCGTTGGCGCAGCTCATATGAGCCCATTGCTTTAGAGAAGTTTGGAGGCACAATACAAAAGGGCAAACGCCCGTAGCTCACAAAGAGGCACACCAGCTGCTTTATGCGATCCGGGGCGTAGCAGGGGAATTATCCGCAAGGCGGCGGCACACTGTTTGTGGACTGCCGCATTAAGCAGCAGTGGAGGATCGAGGCTCATGCTGAGGAGCTTCGGAGTGCGAGGTAACACCGCAGGTCTTGCAGCGGCGCGCGGGGAATTAACCGTCTCCGTTGCGCCCCGCTTTGTGAGCCATGCGGGGCAGCTACACCGCCGCGGCGCGTACACTGTGGCTCGCATGCTGGTGGGGGCGCGGCATCCATACCCAAAGCAGTCCCTTCAGTCGGTATCATGTTCTCAGCAACCTCACTGACAATGGGGGTGGGGCTGGTGGGTCGGTGCGGCTCTAACTGCTTGGGCGACCTACCAGGTTTCAAGAGTGGGGCGATAGCGCTACGACTCCGCTCGACCAAAATCACACCGGTCATCGAACCGTGTTGGATCTAAAGGATAAGCAACCAGATGCCCTTCGCCAAGAGGTGCCCTAGCGCCCCAACACGCACGTCGTCTGGTGCAGGGGTTTTGCCCTACAGTTTGACCCCCAGCGCGGCAAGCGGGAGTTTTGGCATGCCAAAGAGAGTGTCTCGAGAAGATGGGGGCGATCCATCGTGGAGGCGGCGGTTGGCTCTTCGTTGTTTTGCGGCCTGGGTGGGGTATGCGGAGCAACGCCGAGAGACTTTTGCTGTCGGTCTCGTCGTGCAGAAACCCCTTGTTGGTTTGCGAGATGGGAAAAGGGAGGGATAAATCTGCAAGTGAGAGCATTTGCTGCTCGCTGTGCTGTCCTAAAAGTGCGTCGCCCACCGCCCCCCAGCGCAGCTGCGGGGTGTGGTTGGGAAGCCGCCTTACGTCCAGATGTGGATTTCCAGGCCAATGCTTCGCCTGTGGCTGACTCGCAGTTGCGCCTGAAATGTGTAGTGCGCAATGGCCCCCAGAAAAAAAGGATGAACCGATTCCTTGTCCATTGCGTTTCTGCTTTGCGGTCGGGCGATCGCGAGTGCAGGTGGCAGCGGACCTTGCTCTCGGTAGCAAAAATCGCTCTGCCTCCGTGGGGGTGCGGTCCCAGAACTTGGAGCCATTTTCGTGCAGGCCGCGAGGGCAATGCTTAGGAGGGGAAATTCTACGCACCTTTGTGGGGGCCCTAACGCCGGGTGCCGACGTCTTAAAATTGTATGCTGTAAGCTGTTGACTCAGGAGTTCCATTCACACTTCTCAGACTGTAGAAAATGTGGTGCAAAGGAGCGCCCCCCGCGCCATCAAAGTTGCAGGTTTTGCTTGCGTCGGGTGGGCGGGGTGGGGGGCACTGCGTTGGAGCACCTCGGGGGCGGCTTAGTTCCACGCCCCACGATAGCCGTAGGTTGTGGCGTCGCGCGCCGCATGGAGTTCGCAAGAAGAAAGCGAAGTGCCGGCAAGCGGCGGTGTAAATAAGGAACGAGAAAAAAAACCTCACACCAGGAGCCTCCCAGCCCTCTGAAAACAACACCGTTTCTGCCCGTGACTGCCGAGCCAGCCAGCCACAACAAGACCCCCAACCCGCCGCCCCATCATTTCTAGCCCGTCGAGATGGCGCACTGGAGGCGCGACTCGGCGTGGGCGCGTCGGCGGCCAGCGAGCCCCCTAAGAATTATAGTTAGTGGTGGGCCGGCGGCCCGCTGCTAGGTGTTTTTGTTCGTTTCCATCCCCCGAAACAGACGGCCCCCGGTGGCTCTCGCTCCCTGCGGGAAGGCCCTGCCACCACCGAAAACAAGTATACAAAATGAATTTCCTTTTTTTTAGCCCTCATCTTTTCGCGGACAAAAAAGCTCTCTATTTTAGCCTGTGAAGAACGTCACGTTTTCGTGGCCTGCCCGGCAGGCGCAGGCCCTTTCCCACCACGCCGCTGACCCGGAGATGGGAAGCCTAAAAAGAAGGAACGATCAAAAAGCCTGTCCCTTTTTTTAAATTTGCGGATACACGACGGTTCTGCATCGAACGATCAGGCGGCCGGCGAGCAAAAAAAAACATCAACAGCAGCGCGCGGCACTCCCCCTCGGTTTTTCTCGGCGCCATTTCAATCACTCTTTTCCCAGTGGCCTCCTTTTCCCCGCCCTCTTGGGCGAGGTTGCGGGGAAGAAATGGGCGGAGAATTAATTCGCTACTTGAGTGGGTGGTGGGGGGCGCTTGCGCAGAAACTCCCGGCAACTTTCTTTTTATGCAAAGCCTATTTGAGAGCGTCCAACGCCATACCCAAGTCAGGCGCGATAAAAAGAAAGCACGCATGCAAAGTTAAACAAAAAAGATTCTGTTTCCACTGCAACAATCAATTTAGAACAATAAAACGGTGTTTCTCTACTTAAAAGCGCCCCTGCGATTTAGGGGAAAATGGCAATAAAAAAATGAGCGCCTCCCAAGTGTGGGGGTCTATCGCTCAGGTGCTGAAGTGGGAAACCCGCAGGCGTCGACAGAGCTCAAAAGAGGACTGCCAGTCCCGCGCAACAAGGCTGCAGCATGCCTCCACCCTCCCCTACTAATTTTAAAATGCCTAGCTACACAATGCCGTTTGACTGCCGAGGAGGCGGCCGCCCAGCGACGAAAGGCTCCCGCCATGCAACGACTACCATCGAAAAAGCTTTTCGACGCGGAGAGCATCACCAATGCAAAGGCACATTGTTGCGCGGCCAAGGGGCCCGGGCAACCAAGGAGCGAACGAGACAGCGTTCGTTGCGGGCCATCCGCCTCGTTCGCGAAGGCCCGCCAACACTGCAGCTGCAACGTCCACCGCCTTGCTCTACTGTTTCGATTTCCCTTACCGTCCAGAGTGTGTACTCAGTGCGTTCTGTGTTGTGCGGGGCTTGTGTTTGAACGGAAGACCACATCACAGAAACCGCATTTCAGCCCAGAAAGGGGCGGAGGGTATTACGGGCAAAGAGGCCGACAACAATGCACGGTGAGGTTTTTGTAACCCACCCACACGGCATCACAGTACGGGCATTTCTCCTTTTGACAACTTGTGGACGGCCGTTTTCCCGCGGGAGATGCAGCAGTCGCAGGCCGCGTCGGATAAGCAGCGCCCGTCCATAGTGCACGTGGGTCGGGGCTGGAGCGCACGATTGCAGCTTGTTCTGGCTAAAGAGCTCAAGAACGAAAGTGAGTCAAACAACTTCTCACTGTTCACAATAAGCGACTCCAGAGCTCAGACCCCAACGCCGTGTTTGT